CAGTAAAAAAAATAAAATAAAAAAATAGCAGGAATGTAAGACTAGTAAAACATATTTCTGTTAAAATGTAAATAAATTTTGATTTTACAGCCAAGAGTTGACTCTGTGGCTGTATTAGGTGTACAATGTGAGACAGGAAGGTGCTAGAGGTTCAGCTTTTTCTTTCATGAGCTTCAAAATAAACTCCCCAAAAAAGGAACCTGCGAGTGTTGGCTGTGTTGGAGAGTAAGGCAGTGTCAGATGGGAGGGGAGGAGGAGTCTTGCTGCGTCTACATATGTAAACCAGCGGGGAAGCAGCAGTGTGTCAGACTGAGGCTCTGGCCCAACCTGGGCTCCTCGCTGCTCCCTCCAACACATCAATCATCCAAAACAGGGCCATCATAGCCACACGACATGCTGGGAGACACACACGCACAGGCATGCGCGCACACTGCTGTGTGCTTAAACACAAACAACTGAACAAACACAAAGGCAGTTTCAAGAATACGGACGTTTAAATTGTGTATGCATGTGTGCACACAATGCACGGATATGGAGCGAACTGCAAACACGCATATACTGAACACGCACTCAGATGCAATTACTCAAGCAAACATTCTGCAACAAGCACAGAGACATACGCATACACAAGAATGCATGGCAAAAGTGCATACAGTCAGTGACATGTACAAACACCTACAGTGCAAAGTATGTACACACACACACACACACACACACACACACACACACACACACACACACAGAGTCACACTCTCTTTGCCTCCTAGTCTCAAACAAAGCACGCAGATAAACAGAAATAGGTATCCTGTGCCTACAGGGTGCCCTCGCCCCCGACCATCTGTGACGGGTGCCAACACACAGTGGGTGATATTTACATGGAGACCCCTCCTCCCCTTCTCTTCCACACTTCTCTCTCTCTCTCTCTCTCTCTCTCTCTCTCTCTCTCTCTCTCTCTCTCTCTCACACACACACACACACGCACACACACAAAAAAGAAAGAAATACCCACAAAGGGCCGCTCGGATCGCTTGATCTCCCAAAACTCATTAAACATGCAGATATATGCAAATATATGCACCTCTAGAAATCCACCTTGGGCCAGAGTGTTTGTGGGTGAAAGTACGTGTTTGTTTGAATGTGCGTGTGATTGTGTTTCCACTGAAAGCTTTGACAGTGTGTCTGCCAAACTTGATACTGTGTGTGAGTTTGCTGCTTTTACAGTAAAGAGTGGAGATGTTCTCACACTGGTTTACCACAGGTTCGCGGTACTTCTCTCTGTGACAAGGGTGCATGGAATTATACAATTCATTTTTAAAGTAATAAAACTACATTTGAAAATGAAAACTAACATCACCACTAAAATAATAGATTGCACCTGAAAGATCTATATTCTGGGGCCTAATTTTCTAATTTGGATTTCAAATAGTGGACAAAGATGCATAGCAAGTCCCACTCACACACTTTACGTCTTGTAAAGGAAAGTAATAACTCATTTCGTTATTTTTTGTTTTGGTGGCAAATGCGATACATTACTGTCATTAAAAATGGTGCATATAAAGATTTTGATTTGTTTTTTATTCAGTTTTCAGCTTTTTTAGATGATTAATCTAGTTGTCTTTTAAGACTTTTTAGATAACTTGATAATAAAACCAATATCTCTTCACTGCAGCTGATATTGTGTTCTGGTATTTAATATCTTCAAAAAGGCAATTAAATGATTAAAACAACCATGCAACAATCTGTCTTTTCACACGAGTGCCATTTTTGTCAGGGAATAAAAAAACATCTGAGGTGTCACTTAGTCAAGTTATCATCTTCCCGCAGAAAACCAAAGTATTGATCAGTACAGTACAGCACAGTAAGATAGCCATCAACTTGAATTGGAAGACACTGGCCACTATCAATTTTCTCCTACTGGCTGTGTGCATTGATCAAACTCCATAGTTAATACATTATATGCAGGTTATTCTATTATCAGTTAGTCACAGTGTGTGTTTGGTTTTTGTAATCTGTTGGGGAGACAAGAGGGGAGTGACTCCTGGAGAAGCACCAGGGATGATGATGGTAAATATATGATCTGTCAGTCACAGCCAGCAAGGACCAGCAAGGATGGTTGTGTGTGTGTGTGTGTGTGTGTGTGTGTGTGTGTGTGTCCACAGCGCTGCAGGCTAAATAGTGCCATTATATTCCTACAGCAGCACTAGTCACAGTCAGCTTGAGTCTCAGAGTCCTCTGGGAATCAGAGATGTCTCTGCTCAAAGACTGCTGCCACCCTGCGACACACCACACACACACACATGCACGCACGCACACACGTACGTACACACACACGCACGCACACAAAGTGGCACTGTGGGCATGATGGCAGTGTGATGGGGCCAGGTGGGGTGGATGGGAGAGCAATGTATGTGTGTTTATATATCTGGTGTGTTTTTTTGTGTTTGTGTGTATATAGGACACAGTTTCTATGAAAGCAGAGCACAGTAATGACACCCCTCCATCTTATTCTTTGAAAAGCAATTGTGTTATGCGGCAGAAGGAAAGAAAAATGCTGCCAGTCATAGTTACTAATTAGAAGAGTCGTTACTGCATTGCACATGCACAAGCTAAAAGGGCTGGTTCACCAGAATTACAAAGAGACGTGTTTTTCTCTGAGCTTCAGCGGTATCTAATAATGCAGTTAGTTTTTTGTTATATTGGACGAGGTTTTAAGATATCCATTACTCGGATTTGTGTCTCCACCTCAGACTGGGAATGTAAACAATCAAAACACTGATCGCAACAGCAAATCTAATTTACACACATACGACAGATACATTACTTATAAATTAAAACATTCTAACAACTAGCTGTATATAATATAAAAAAATATATGTTTGTATAGAATTCTTTGTTATATGATTTTTCTTGTTTTTTTCTTTTCTTTGAAATGAACAGCTTATAAACTAGGCACAGTGCGGTTAATTGTGTTATCTAAAAATGCACTGTATCACAGCTTGGGCAAAAAAAAATGCAGGAGATCTGCACTCTGTCAGAGAAACCCTTTTTGTGTCAACACTCACAAGAAACCATAACTCCACTAGCCTTCCTCTTTCCCCTATTAATAGACACATCATGCATACTGTTGCTTTATTAATAGCAAAATCATAATCACAGATCTCACTGCTCCAGGATAGAAGCTTTCTGGTGGTAGACATTTCATACTATGGGATTTTACAGATATAAACTAACAAAGATATTTGTTTATTTTTGCAAAATTTCTCACACGTCTGTGTCCTCGTAAGGCTCCAACTGCAAGTTAATTTAAAGCTTGAAGGAATCTTTAAGCAGCCACTAAATTTAACTCATCATACATACTGAATAGCATATGTGGATTTAGAGTGATAGATAATCAAAGAAAATGACTGTGACAACCCCTAGCTCTACAAGCCACACCAAGTGTCCCCTTGATTCTAGATAATTCACAGATCACACTGACATCAGTGGAAAACAGCGAGTTCTGTTGATTGTTCAGCAAAGTGGGGACACTGATTAGGGGGTGGACTGTGGTGGAAAAGGGAATCACGGCAGAAGCTTTATATCAGGGTGAATATAACCGCAACTATTTGCATGGATAGCTATCAGCAGAGGTAGGTGGAAAAAAAATACACATTTTTCTAATTTGGGTGAACCATCTCTTTACCATAAACATGAAATGCTAATGGCTTATTAGGGTCATATTTTACCATTTCCTATAGAATGATACCTTTTAGCTCTGTACACTGAGAGGGTTGCTTAAAAGAGAAAGGATGAAAGGAAAACAGAAACAGAATGTGGATGTGAGAGAGGAGGTAAAAAAAAAAAAAGAAAGTAGACTACAAGACAAATGAAAGACACAGTGAGCTAGTTAAAGAGTGGGAGAGAGAGAGAGAGAGAGAGAGAGAGAGAGAGAGAGAGAGAGGGAGGATGAGGAAGGATAAAATTGAACCTGATATACTTTGATCTGCTTATGGACTATCCCTAACAGTTATCATAGATATTGATGATCATATATTATTGTTTCTAAATCATACAGTTAATCATACATCCCCTAGTTTAAGTGCATACTGTACACTGCATGTGGTTTGACTGTCTGTACTGTGCAATACTACCTTCAGCATAGTCTCTGATCAACAGTAAAAGCACTGAGCTGAGCTGAGGCACCACAGATGGCGGTAGAGCGAGCACAGGGGAGAGCACATATGAGAAGAGAGAGAGCGAGAGAGAGAGAGAGAGAGAGAGAGAGAGAGAGATTCCAGCCCTGCGGTCCCGTCTCCTTCACAGCGCTGGAAGGTCAGCCGAGCCTCGAGCCATAACACTCGCTCCCTTTTCACTTCAGTCCCGCTTTTATTCCAGCAGAACCACAGCGCTCTTTGACAATTGTCATCATGACGAATCAATATAGACTCTCCACAGACCCCCCCCAACACCCCATCCACCCCCATCCTCTGCTGCCCTTGAGTTTTTAAACACTGATCCAGCAGATAGTCCAGTTAAAGTCTCTTCCCAGGGCCTCCATTTTATAGTTTACCCTTCACTCTCAGTCTCTCTTTTCTATTAGTCCTCTATGTCCTCCGTTTCTCTCTATGTATCACGGTGGGATGTAATTGGCATGGCTGCTTGACAGAGGCAATTTTTTTTTTGTAGCAGCATGAAAAATGTCAAAAACCTTTGAATAGCAACACTGAATTAGGAAATTAAACTGCAATATCTGGTAAAGTATATAATTCTGTAGCCACTTGGTGCATAATAAACATTGTGGCAAGTTCATATTTAGGTCCTGTCCTTTTTCTCTATGTTCCTCTTTGCGTTGACTTCAAGTGCTGCACCACTCCATCTTCTTTTCAGCGCCTTGTATTTGGGATTGTGTGTGTGTGTGTGTACATGTTGCTCTCCGATCTACGGCAGGGCTGACAAGCAGCGTAAAACCAATCAGAGTGTGTGTATGTGCTGATTAGTGGTGTGCTAAGGCATGCGGCACGTCAGATGCGAGCGCTAATTCGTGTTGCGAGCATCGCGGTGACTCGTCTCGGCCCTCCGGTAATGAGCAGCGGCGCCGTTGTGTGGCTCGGCTTCACGGTGCTTCCTCTCCGTCTCTGCGACACACTGGGCCCTGGTAATTGGTCACAGAGGGGACAGTAAATCTGCACGAGGACGTGGGAGACACACAGAGACAGAGAGGTAGAGATAGAGGGAAAGAGAAAGAATGTGTGCGTGTGTTTGTATGTGTGTGAGTTTGCAGGAAGAGGTAGGTGATAGAGGACAGGGGGTGGGTGTCTTTCATCTTCACAGCTTTTTCTCTAGAAACCTCCAACTGTTTACAAGGACTGATGCCTATTTGCACACACACAGACACACATACCTACACTGTGAGCCCAGCCCCCCCCCCCCCCCCCAACCTCTACTGCTACCACCCACACGTATATACAGTAAATGACCTCAGCGCGCTACTGTCTGTGGGTATGGATTCTAATCAGACGTCGGCAGTATTGTGTCTGTCAAACCCGGCCAAGGTTACTTAACCTTCCAGTCTTAATTTCCCTTCCATTTTAGCTCCTTCCTCCATATCAAACATCAGCACATCTATGAGAGAGAAAAAAAAAAAAAAAAAAAAAGGAAAAGAAGAGTGCGGGGAGGAAAATGAAGATTGCCATGCTTGGCTGAAGCTCGGAGATGAAAGTAGAGGATGATTCACATTGCTATTGCAAAATGAACTGAACCAAGCTGAGCTGAGCTGTGCCGGGCTGGGCTATTTTTAAACTTCTATACACCGCAGCTACTGGAAGAGGACAATGTGAAGCGGAGCAAATCATTTCTATATCATGAAGGGAAGCTATGTGAAATAGGGTATCCAAGAGAGTATCTGAAAATTAGTATATAAGCTTTGCCGAGAAGATATTTTCGCTACATTTTGTTATCTTTGTTAGCTACCACTTGACAGATACCGAGGACTTGATGGAATTCAGTCCTATCAAAAGTATTAATATTCAAACAAAACAACAAAGCAGACGTAAAAATATCAATATAATTTCTACTTTTAGAAGTTTCATTATATAATGTAAAACACTGTATAACTAAAACCCAAGAATACGCTAACAAAGAGTGTATGCTAGCAGCTGTGTGAGGCAGTGCTAATATACAGCCCTGTTTTGAGTTAAATGCTGACATCTGCATGCAAACATGCTCACAATTACAATGCTAATGTTATGATATTTTCCAAGTATATTGTGGTTGTTTACCATCTTAGCTTCGCATGACATAATGTTTGCTATTACATACTTTGGCCTAAAATTAAATGATATACATCAAAAGCTGCAAAACAGCAGCTTTGCTCTCTTGCCTGGAGGGTCCAGAGTCCTCGTGGCTGCTCCCCCCAACAGTGCACTGTCATCAGGGTCCAGTTCTTCAGGCCAGCGGTGGAGGCGTCGTTGGGGCGCGTACCCAACAGCATTGACACTGTACCGCCTGGAGACTGCAGGCTTATGGAGAGGTCACCACGACATGCAGCGCTGATACTCACTCTTACCTGGAGAGAGACAAGTGGCAAGAAATTTTAAAAAAAGGGGCGATGTTGTTGGAAGGGTAGAGAGAGACGGGAAAAAACTAGACAGAGACAGATCAACATATAAGTATGTTATCTTTCACTGTTGATGCACGCCTTCTCTTAGCCTGTCAGTGCGATAACACCTTTGGCTATCAAGTGTACTAGCAATAGCTGACAAAGGACTTTCTCTTTCTCACTGCTCTAGTTTTACAGGTTGCTTACTTTATCTGTATCTTGAAACAACATTTCAGCAATATTGGAAATGCACCTTAGATAAGAAACTTGGTAACATGTATGCTAAAAATGCTAAAGACTGGAAACAACTGAAAACAGCTAGTTTGGTTCTGCTAATTAGCATGTTGTGTCTTATAATAAACTTTTTAATGCTGGCTTGCTTTATCCGTATAAATACTTGTTTAAATAAAACAAAACAAAACAAAACAAAAAATATTTGCTTGACAACTTTATGGCAACAAAAAGAGGCTAGGTCAGAAATAGTAGCTATCATTTATACACCCCATTTAACCACAAATACTTGTTTTTAGATTTTAACTTTCATTTATTTTTTAAAAAAAGAAAAAAAAGGTGCTAATGTGTTAACTGGGGGAGCTTTAAAAGTGATGGTGGGCAGATTCTGCTGCCTCTGGAACAAGCTAGGCTATCCGTCTTCTCTGTTTTCACTCCTTATGCCAAGCTAACCATGTCCTCGCTGTGTTTAAACAGCAGAAACGTAGAAGCAGTAGCATCAATCTTTTCATCTCACTCTCTGCAGGAAAGAAAACATGCATGTCTTTGAATGCTTAAATGCTGAACAACTCATTTAAATGTGAAAAGGGGCTTCTTCAGATCAATTCTGAAAATACGGAAAGTCAGTGCTAACATGCATTGTGCCTCTGAGTTAAAATCCTAATCCAGCCAGTGTTGTTTGAGATACTGTATGTGCCACACAGACGGACAAGCCAAAGATCTGTCCACAGACACTCAAATATAAAGACAAAGAAAAACAGGTTGAGAAAGTGGAAGAAAAACAATATACTGACAAAAACGGCTGAGGGGAATATTAGCTAAATGATTTAAATAAGCTCATACCCCCCCACACCCCCACCGCCTCCCAGTAAACACCCTCCCTGTCCCTGTTCATCACAAGCAGCACATCTGGTGTGACAATGGCACATCGCAGAGAGAGCCGCCAAGCTGCAAAAAGACTGACAGCCCGCTCCTGTTTACTGCGTGTTACCACGGCAACACGTCCATCAATCACACCTCGCAGCGATGGCCTGACCCACGCTTTCTGCCAGGGAGCAGAGCCGCAAAGATGAAGCCTTTTCAATTTACATGCTGACACACTCTCGCTCTCTCCTTCTTTCTCTCTCTTCACTATTTCACAAGTACACACACTCACAAACATAGATAATTCGCACAAACTCAAATGTGCACAAACAGACACATACAGTATGTATGCCTGCTGACACAATGAAACATAAACACATTTGCATGTATGTGCCTGTACTCAAGAAAACACAGTTTTGCCATTTTCTGCAAATGACACTGCCAACACATTATACATCACAGTATGATCCTTTTTATCTCTTCTATTCTCAGATAAAGCACATGACACAGAAACCTGAAAACAATTTGTATGACATCTTCAAGCTTCCCCGGTTGTTGGCAGAAGTTAAGTTTTGAATGCACTTTGCTTGATTTGTATCTCATCAAGGGCAATGGGGAAGGAGGAAGGACTGTAAAAGCAGATTTACTGCACCACAAAAATACAGTGACATCAGAAAATATTTATCTATACTATAGATAGAAAATTACTTTCTTGCTTTTTCTATAGTTTTTTGTGTTTTAAAGGAATAGTTCAGCATTTTTGGGAAACAAGCATTGTCACTTTCAAGGTACAAGTTAGATGAGAAGATGGATACCAGTGTTGTCTACCATCATCTCATGCCGGCTCGATGTAAAGATGGAGGGACAGCCGGTTAACTTCACCAATCATAAAGGCTGGAAGACGGCAGAAACAACTAGCCTGCCTTGGTCAACAAAATCCATCTGCTAACCTCTTTAAAGTGAACTAAATCACCTGTGACATCACTTTTGTTTAATACAACCATTAACATTCATAGCTTGATGTTGAAACTAGTGTGAAAGTACCTTAAAGTGCAATACCACTGACGACTGGTAGGTGCTAGCTTGAAAAAAATCTCTGCCTCCAGTAGACTCCTATGCAAGAAGCATTGACTTCAATCTTAAAATACTATATAATAACATTTTTTTTTCAACAAGTCATTATAATTTCAGTTGCTAAAGTCACTTTCTCTGACCAGTGTGCTGGTGGTCATTTTGAAAATGACTCCAGAACTACGCAGATATTAGGCCTCAAAGAGAGGTATGTTTGAGGGCATGATTAGCTTGTTAGGCCAGCTTCTTGGATGAGGCAGAACAGGAGGGTTATTTTGCTGGTAAACTTGAAGTGCATGCACATTGTTTTAATTCAGTTGTGATATAATGACGCATTGTGTTGACATTAGTCTGTTCCAGTGCCAGCTTTGCTATTCTTCAGCTTGTTTTAGTCACCTTTCAGTTCACTGTAGTCATGACTTGTTCTTCAGTAAATTGTACAGATGCTCAAGGGATTCCAATATCCAGTTGTTTGGTAAGTAAATGCATTTTACAATTTTAATGGACTTAATTGTAGTTTTAATGTTTAGGTAGAATGTTTATAATGCACATTGCTGGTTAGCTAACATTGTGATGATGCTGTACACGCTAGCTATGACCTCCAATCAGGTTTCTGTCACTCCCCTGCTTCACCCAACCAGAAAAGATGGTGTTGACAATAAAGACATTCTCTAGGCTTCAAATCGGTATCCACTGCAAACCAGTGAGTGACACCATTGCTTGCCATCTCCCTTTTTAAATGTCAATATATTTATACATCTCTGGTTAAATCTGAATAAAAACTGAAGTGACTGAAGACTTGGCCACCAGTAGAGCCAGAAAAGCTGGTTTCCAGCACACCTAACCAAGAATGAATGCTAAAAAAAAAAACAAAAGTTGTCTCATATTCTATAATCACAATAATCATAGGGAAAAAAAGTACATTTAAGAAAAACAGTATTGTACATTCATGCTATGAAATTTTGTTTAAAACCTGCCAGCTGACCTGGACGTGCTCCAGAGTGTTGACCTCGTTAGCCCTCCCTTGACAGGCCTCTGATTGGATGTTCACGCTGACTCCAGCTCCTGGAGAAAAGATTCTAACCAATAAAAAGTCATTACTTCTGTCAGTCAATAGCCAAACCGCTTTCTCACAGGGTTATCACATATTCATACAGTGTGAATACGCATGCATGGAAAGTAGCAGACAGGACAGATGGAGATAAGTTGAAATATTGTGCTGAAAGGCTGAAAAAAAAACATTTTGTTGTGGCTGGTAGAAGGAAGACAATTAGTTAAAAAAAAAGAAAAAAAAGACAGGTATTAAATAAATGTTAGGGATGTCTGATATCGGCATAAAAATGTAGTATCGGTCAATATCGTTATAGTTTTTTTTTTGTTTGTTTTTTTTGCCTATAATTAAAACCAACAAAAAAATGCCTGAATTTCGCCGGCATTTACCGGCACGTCATCAAAACTGCGTCGTGAAGCGTGTAAACAAGCGTGGCTGCAGTAACAAGCTTGCTCGCGCTGTGCCTGACTAACAGGAGATATATGATGTTACTAGGGCTGGACCCGAATATCCAAATACTCGGTCGTCATAGTGACATCCGGATATTAATTTTGAGGTCCGAATTCACCGGACCAGCAGCACGCTGTTCGGGAGGCAGAAAAGAAGCCGATAGAAAGGCATGGCAAAGACACTGCTGCTGTGCCACCACCAAAAACAAAAAAACAAACAGGAGGAGATATCCATGTTAATGCTGTTGGACTCCGACGATGAACACCCTGAGGAACAAGATCAAAGTGCCAAGTGAGAGATGGAGCAGTATTTGGTGGACTCTACTAGAGTCCAGTCTGGCCCACTTGGATGCTGGAAACAGAACTGTGACTGCTAGCCTAAACTGGCATTAGCAGCCAGATACTGCCTGTGTGTTCCGGCCACTTCCACTCCGTCGGAGCGCATTTTTTCGAAGGCTGGCTACATTGTCAACAAAACCAGGAGTTCACTGTTGCTACTGTTATATATATATTTATATCATTAATATAATATGATAAATTAGGCAAACTTGTAATTTTCTAAATTTGTTTTTAGTTTGTATTTGAGTTTGTTTAAATGCCCTTTACTGTGTTAATAAATAAAGAAACAAATAATATAAGTAAATGAATAGTATTCTGTCATATTCATCTTTAATTGGGCCCAAATATCTGGAGCCCAGATATTGCTATTTGGACCAGCCCTAGATGTTAAATAGTCCACATATATATCAGTATTGGTTGATGTCAGAATCGGAAATTGAGAGTTGGACAATATCGGCATATCGGATTTTGGCAAAAAAGCCAATATCCGACATCCCTAATAAATATAGTCAAAATATGAACAGAACATTGTAAGGATTAGATAGAACTTTATTGATCCCTTTGGTAGGGTACTTCAGGGAAATTGATTTTACAGTTACATCCCATCCAAGAAACATAAAAAGACAGCGACCAATAACAGGGGGAGACAGGCGGATGGTGGTGAAATGAGCATACCATATGTATTTCTTACCTGGTGGGGTGAAGTGTGACTTCTTGTGTGCACATCCTCTGTGGAGCAATAGTGTGGAAGTGTGCGGCCTGCTGCACCATCAGCCCTGCGTCCAACAATCCAAAGCCAAAACTGCAACAAGCAAGGAAGATGCATTCTATTATCTGTGTTTGTGTATATGGTAAGCACAAGCATGGTGTTGTGCTTATATCCTAACGCACATGTGAATTTGAGGCTTTTTACGTGGGCGGCTGAATGTGCTGCAGGAGCAGAGTAAGTGCTAATGGCTCCGACATGAGGAGGCAACAAGTCATTGACGAAGATGATGTTGTCCTCTGACACAATCGCTTCCCGCTCTGTCCAGGCTGAGCTGAGGGCTGCTGTTTGTGCCGATGTAATTGCCTGGAGGATTGATTCTGAACAATGTGCCATCTCGCGGACTGTAATCAAGCCTCATTATTCATTCTTTACCACCCCAATCTTGGTGCTGGAGACACAATGGCTGACCCTTAAGCAGCGTCACTGCCTGGTGACTGTATGACCACTGCCTATCATGCTCACTTCTCCACTTTACCGCTCATCTCTTTACGTCTCTTTTGAATCATCCCCTCTCGTCTTTCCTCTTTGCCCTCCCTTTTTCACAGAGCAGACTGCTATTCAGTGCTCTTTTCCTCTCTAAAGTCTCCTTCACTCTCCTCCATCAAATCTGAATTTCTTGCATCAGAACTCTCCTCCGCTGCTTCAGTGATGCTGAAATCACAGTCCTCACAAGTCTCTCCTTACTTCTCCCTCAAATCTTTCGTTTTCACGAACTTTCTCTGTTTCATTTCCTTTTTGTTAAAATCACAGTCCTCAGACAGAGTAACAGGGCCATAACAACCTTCATCGCCCCTCCTCCTCAGAAATTCAGAGGGGGTGACAAAGAGCTAATTTCTGCCATTATTACCATACAGACCTTATGTCGTTAATCTGCAATAAGTGAAATTCATTATCCTGATGACGGGGTCTCTCCGAGCAGCAGAGAGAGAGGCAGAGAAGGCAGAAAGGAGAGAGCTGATCAATAACTCAATCTGCTGCCCTGCATGGGGCTCCATCTCCTCTGTCTCTGTCACTGTCAGTGTGTCTGAGGAGGAGATGCAGGAGCTGCGGCCCACACTGTCCCCATCCTAACAGCACGCCACGCAATCAATGGACACAATCTAATCAGCCACTATCACCACCAATGACTTTTAGCATGTAGGACCCGACATAATAGCATTAGGCAGACGGGTGTGTGGGGTTGCGTTGTGCTGCAGAAGTTCAAGGTCATTTTGGGAGGTTTGTGAAAGCTGTGAGGAGTTGGAGCAAAAACACTGTTGACAACAGCTCAATGCAGAAGATGAAGCTAATGATTGCAGAAGCATCAGCTCACATGGATCCTAATCAGTTCCAAATGCACTATGATTAAAGATACAAGTGCTTTTATTTGGCAGTCAATGTGTGTTCGAAGGAACCAAAAATGCACTAATGACAGGGAACTGTGATCCTGAATTCTCCCTAATAGATATTCAAAGATCCGTTTAAACTAATTTGTGTCTTGCTGCCTAAAGTTTTTTATTTTAATGTCAAAAACTAAAAGATAATCTCTGAACTCACGAAGGCTTATTTTCAAGATTTATTTTGGCATTTAATTTGACTGTTGACATTGAAGACAAGACAGAAAATGTGTTGTCTAAAGGACAACTCAGGCTCTCCTGGTGTTTAACAGAGCAAGGAGCACATTGTTTCAGGTAGCACTGAGATAGCAGAATTAGAATCCAGGAAGGCCAGTTCAAGTATGTTTAAAGGGTTATTAGATGCCAAAACACAAGACAATGCTTTATAATGCTCTGCAATGGGATTTTGGTTCTCAATTTTGTGAAGTTATTATTTCAGCAATCATTTTATTTTTCATCACCAGAAATGCAATGTAAGTAGCAAAAATACAACATTGCTGCTGCAAAGCCACCTGCTAGGAATGTGCGGTTGCATGTATTTACTGGGCCAATGTTAAGCTTTTTCACCACCCTCTGTGCTGGCATCCCCGCTGTGTTGATGGAGAGTCCACATTTAAAAGAATTCAGTTTTGGAAAAACTATTAATAAAGCAAGTCATGTTGAATTTTTTTGAAATAAACAAAAGATTCAGTAAGCAAAAGAACCTTGCTAGCATCAGATCACTTTCGTTCGCTTGTGACTGCTTTTATTTTGGATGCTTTAAATGTGAGTCCACTTCCCCATTTCCAACCATCCATTCATTATCTATACACCATTTTACCCTCTGTAGGGTCGAGGGGAGGCTGGAGTCTATCCATGCTGAAGGTGGTGACCCTGGACAGGTCGCCAGTCTATCGCAGGACCACATAGAGACACAGACAACACGCACACTCATTCACACCTACGGAACAATTTCATGCATAAAGCAAGAAATATTTGCCAGCAATATAAGCACGATTGATGTGAAATCTGTATGTTAAAGCACAAAAGCAGCTTGGTATTTTCAGGAAATAATTCTTCACCATTACTTCAAATAATGTTGAAGATTCAGAATCAAGATTTTATTTAATTTTTTTTTTTTTTTCATGTAGTTACACTTAGTAAATACATTTAGATGCATGTCAGTGTCATATAATCTTCCTGAGCTACCTATAAAATGGAAAAAATAAAATCTAACACCAGTAATAACAATAGATCACCTAAGATATTTCACAGTGGAGAGAAAACTGATACCCAGACTTCTCATAAAACAAACTGTTGGTGACCGGGGCTTGACACCCTGCTCCCTTTTAGTGATTAAATATACCCTCCCCACCTCGTACCCCTTAGCGAGAACTGTGCACCTATTAAATCCTATAGCTCCCTCAGATCGATCGGGCTTGCCCCAGCTCCATGGCCGTAAACCCACACAGACATATATCTGATAGAGAAAGCTGCAGGAAACAGGTTTACCCACGATAGAACATGATGGAAATGACAGATTTTATGTCCCCTGCCATGTCAATGAAACAGCACAGCTGAGCTGAGGCGCTTTTCAAGAAGACTCCCCAGCCTTTTCAGCCTTCTCATCAGTAGCAAGGAATTGAAAGAGCAGCACACCTTGTGAGTAGCCCTGGGATTTCTTGAAATAGAAATGTGGGCAGATCAGGATTCATAGTTGTTGTGGTTTGTGACATTGCTGATCACAGGATTTGTAAAATTTCTTTAAAGAATGTGATTGAGATTTCTGGAAGTGCTTCAAATGTCTTTAGGATAAAACCCACATAATGTAATGCATATCAAGTAATTAGTCAGAAAACACTCATCCAATTTTCAACTTGTTCTTTCTCCACCTCCTGCGTGGTCGGAGGGAGGTTGAGCCAAGCCGACTACAGAGTGACAGCCGATCTTCTGTCCACGCAGCACGAAGCATGTTAAACCCCCCGACCCCCCGCCTCCTCACATATCGAATTCGCGGCCCTCGCATTTTCTCCATCCACTTTCACTCCTCGACGGCAAATGCCCTTGCAAACTCTTACTCCCTCCTTCTTTTTATCTATAAGGATGGAGGCCACTCCCCCCCACCTCTCCATGGGGCCTCTTTGTAACTGTCGAGGAACCCTTTTCACTTTTTGTTCTGTGGGCCTTCCCAGGTCCTTTCTCTGTTGATATTCACACCATCTGCCAAAAGCGGAGGAAGGTGTATACAAAACCCAACTAGCACTGAGACATCGGGATCTCCAGGGTCGAGGTCTTTGCTTCGTATTTGCACATGGCATTGAAAACACAGCCTTAACAACTGGTATGCTGCAACCAAAACAGATTTTTGCAGCTACCCAGGGACCTAGCTACGACGGTTTCACCCCTTGTTTGCAGTGGTACGTCCTGCTAAGTCCCCCCAATAGAAGTGGCTGTAAAGAATCACTCAAGCCGCACTAAGCAGCTGCCTGTGAGTTAGGTCATTTTCCCAGGAGCCACAGAGTGGGCATTGGCAGGACCTCAAAAAAAGGGGACACCATCTGTTCAGCGCCTGAAAAGGTTGGTGACACCTTCTGTGGTACCAACAACTTCTAATTAAGTGGCCAAGAATGCTGCAGCAGCTCCAGCGCATGATTGGTGGGCTCGCCTCAGTTATCCTGACGACAACACAGCAGACGCCCGGTCAGTTTCACGCACCTCTCCATCACATCTGGGAATGTACTAATGAAAAATGAACGAAGAGTGAGAACAACAAACACTTGATGAAGGTGACACATGACTACCGCAGCCAACAAAACCCGATTTTCTTGTTCTATCGCTGATTTTGTTGTCTTCCTTTCGTACCACTTAATTGAATGTTTATCAGGAGCATAAAAAAACAGCATTAGCCCTTTGGTCAATCCCTGCGCGGTTTGTTTCGGTTATATCATAATGCCTTAATTTCATTACCATTAGGATTTAAATGAAATAACAAATAGACTTAACATTCCTCTGATTTCCATCGCTCTTGCAGCCAAATCTGCTGCTCAGAAATGTTACTAATTAGGCTTATTAAGTAATTAAGAAGAGGTCTAAATTATTTCTGCGCCACTGGGACCCGCACGGCTGTAACCATGAAATGCTGCACCGTGCAGCTCAGCTTTGTCGGTTTGGATATTACACAATTTTATCCATTTAACTGTTCTGAATGTGTTTTTACGGAGAAAAAAAAAAGATTTTGGAATGTATTTTTAGGGATGTATTAGACAAATATCTGCGTGATGTGAAATTACAGAGAAACACTCAGCAGCTTTCAATAGCACAGCCTCAAAATGTCAAGTGAATTACCTTGTGAAGAGTTAAAAGTTTAATGAAATATATTGCGGGGAGGAAAATGAGGGGTTTGGCACAGGCATGGACTTAGTCTCAGGAGAATGGGCCCCGAACGGCCCTCTCAGTCTCTATAGCCATCAGTCAAAGTAGCAGCCACCCGTCCCCGTCTTTTACACAAGGAGACTTCTCTGGAAGCCACGATGATCTATACCCCATGACCTCACTCTCAGCGTCCAACATATTTTGATTTGTAGCTCGAGTGTTATTCAAACACGAATTCAAAAGAGGATGAAATTCGGCAGAGAGCTTTTGTTGGACGCACACCAAGGTACAGTCCTTTTGGATGTCTCTGCCCTTGTGGAGAAAGAGAGAGAAGAGAGGGAGAGAGAGGGAGAAGGGAAAGCACTGAGTAAGCCCTGCGATACAAGCTTGGCAAAAGATTCCCTCTTGGGTCCCGATTGCTTTCCTTTCACACCGGACAAAGCAAACACTGAACCAGGAACCTTTGTTTGCCTCTTCAAAGGAATAGGATTTAGATCTCATATCACTAAATACGAAAAAGCAAACACAAATGTAATGATCAGAAACAAAGTCTGTGTTTGCGTGTTCATTGGATGGTAGGACATCTGCGTATGGAGTTCAAAAGTTCTGTATTCAGCATGCTATAATAAAGAGCAAAACATTGTTATTCCTTTAGGTTATAGGTCAGTTAAGGTGCATGTGTCATTACCGTTGCAGATGGAGCATAATGGTTTTGGTGAAGACAAATAATAAAAATGAAATCCTAATAAATCCTTAAGCAACTAAACTGTAAAAACAGC